GTTACTAGTAGCGATGCACTTGTTCCTAATAGCTTCTTGTTACTACTTGTGTGAGGAAACGTTGACCGGCTCTTGCCATCACAAAAACTTGGATGTGAAGCATGTGCTCCCGAAAAAATGACTTGGCATCTGGCAGATCAACACTGCACTTGACACTTAAACTTAAGAGTTGCAAGCACGCTATGCATTGCCTTGCAACTTTAGCGCACCAGCGTCTTGAACTATGGCTTCCAATTCTTTCCAAGGCACACCACCCAGCTCATATAGATCTAGATCCTTGCCTAAGTCGAGACGTTGGATCCCCATCCACCTTTCACACAGAGTAGCTGGAGTTGTCAACCGAGTCTGAGGATCTAAAATGGAGCACAAAATGTTAAGTTTCCAAATCGGCTTCCTTGAAGCCTTAGCCAAGAGTGCGTCCAAGCCTTTTGTGAGCTGCCTACCCAAAACCCTTGCTTTTTAGCCAACTTGTAAGCTACTGGTTATGGCCTACAGCCCATTAAGCTTCAGAAAAGAGGTCTAGAGACGTACTGCCAAGACACCATCAAATTGCAAGTTCGACACACTGGCATTGAGATCAAAAATCTCCAGGATCGCAGGCGAGGATTGCTCGACAAAGCCTCAGCACGACACTGACAAGGGTGCAACCCGGCGAATCGGAAGCAATAAAAACATCTCTATGTTTTGCAGGCATTGCATGGCAGTGCTGCTTTTGAACAGTCACTGATGCATAGCCAAGTTGCTTGACCTTGCGTAGACAAAGAAGTGGGTGTAGGTGCCGCGATGTGTTTCGGCTGGGACGGTGAGGTTGCTAGTCCCCACTGGCACCTCGGTCAGTCTGTAGACGCATATACATGTATATATTAATCATATATCTTGTTTCTACTTTCCTTATGCAAATTATCCGATATATATAACTATATATAAGTCCCCAGTTATAGTTTACCATCTGCAACAAAGCATACCTTTGTCGGCTCCAGCGTTCTTTATCACATGCAAATATGTGTCAGCCGGTTGCTTTGAGAACTGGCCCCTGCCTGTGTCGCTGTTAAGGACATGTACAAACCTGTACTACAAGTAGCAAGTGCTAAATAGAGCCATTTACGACCATATTGCATGCACCATCATGCACCTTGACTAACCCTGATCCACTTCCATACCCGAATGGCCTCTGCATAGAGCTGACCACGGCAGGGTCCCAAAAGCCCGGGACTGTCACTGTCATCCTCGGGTCGACTGTCACTGTCATGATCTTCCTAGTAGCTTCTTGTAAATAGTAGTAAGGGCCTCCAACCTAATAGCGATGGCCTCCACCTAATAGCGTCCTTGCTAATGGGTCACAGTTTAACTGCTATCCTTGCCAAAAACTGTCATGCGGCAACGCAGCACCAATTCCAGGCAAGATGCCGCGGAGCTATTGGTAGCGATGCAAAGCCAGGTGCCTGATTGGTTCACAATGTCTGAAGCCCAATAGATCACCTCGAATCTGTTCTGCTCTCACTTATGTCGCTCCGATTGAGCGATTACATTTTAACTTATGTTTGATGCTTCTGCCCTGACAGCCGCAGATTGCTATGAGATCAGAATCATTGAAAGCAGCAGAACAACACCAAAACTGGACTCCAAAGCTCTCTTTAAAGGAAATGTGTTCTGTCTCCTCTCCAGATTTTGCCAAGGGACATATGAGATCACTTGTGAATTCTGCTCCGGTTCAATCCATGAGAGGATGCCACCCACTTCGAGCCCATCCAAGTCAAAGTCTGGGAAATCCAAGGAGGACCTCAAATGAGCAGGTGGAATCGAACGAAAGCACGGAAGCCAATCAATGTGTGTGTGTGTGCTGGAGTCCAGTCCAACCTCAAACCATTCTGCAAAGAAAAAACCTTGTTGAGTTTTTGAATGGTAATTCGAGCGTAGCCTGAATTGGGGTTCCCTGCACTGACGAGTCCGTGTCGAAAAGCAACAGGCTGGACGGTGTGGTCTGCTCGACCAGAGAAGATACGGTGTAGACCTTAGCCAGGCTACTATTCCCAAAGAGTTTCATACAATTCGGATCGATTTGGGCAAAAGTTTAGCGCAAACAACATATCAAGTCAATCCCTATCGGACATGTGTCACAGCTGTGTTTTTTGTGTGGGGGCCATGTGCCTTCAAGCAAGACGCCAGGAATAATGACCCTTTGGAAATGCTTCAAGTCACCCAAACCTTTATCTCTATGTTCACACGAATGTCCGCTAGCATTGACTGACATCCGTGTACCAAGCCCCCGGGCTGCAAGACGCTGGTAGTTTTGCTTTGGTGTGTCCTTGGCAGCGAAACCAATTTGGCTTGTGCCTAGCGCCAAAAGTCTTTCATTGACATGTCCATCATTCAGCCCTTGTGCATCTCACTGATGTGCCTGCTTTTTCAACATCTGTGCGGGTGCGTTTTGGGCGCCCAGCCGCAAGGACTGCCAAAGAACTGTTGGAAAGGCCGCTGCCTTGCGAAAGCAATGTGCTATTGCTCTGCTATTTGGCCACGGGCAAGTTTGGTGGGGGTGGCGATCTGGCCTAAAGCGGATCTTTCAGTGAAGGTGTCCGTGGTGAGGTACACAGAGAAGTTCTGAACCTGCAACAGGCTCTCCCTCACTCTGACATGCCCAAGCTTGACCAGTCTTGAAATCAATGGGAATCTCACATATCTCTCTCACTTTGTGTTTTGCAATGTTTGCCACTAGTAGCAAGAAGCTATGTAGGTTGGAGGCCATAGCTACTAGTAACAAGGACGCTACTACTAGTTCTTGAAATGTTTGTTTCATGTTGTTTCAACATTCCTGCTGCTCAGTGGCTCGTGACACGCCGAGGCCCTCAAGGGGAAGCCTCGCAGCACATGGGTCTGCGAGTTGGAAGGTGTGCAGTGTGCTTCGACATTCGAGGCATAAACACAACGCATGTCTGTTTTCTGTGCAAGTGAAAATGGAATCTAAGATGTTGACACCCAGTTGACGGTGCCCCCCAGCTCATTGGCATCCAAGTCCTCCAGCAAAGAAAACATTATCAAACATGGCATGAACAACTATCTATCTATGTGTGGTCCAAATCAAGCGCTAGTAGTCTCTGGAAAGTTGAAGGCCGAGAATGTTTCGAACTTGCTCCAGCAGTCCTCATCTGTGAAGGTAAGGTTCAGGACACTTGCCTGGTAAGGTTCTGGGCAGTCTTCACACAACTTGAGGTTTTTGCTCCTTTAGTTCTCAACAGAAGAAGCAGCTTCGTAGCACAAAAAATACCTATAGCCTGTACATATATCTATATAACAATGAGACGTGTTGAGAATCGACCAGTTGATGGCAGCCTCAGATTGAGGGCACTATGTCTCCGTTACCTCTCCCGGAAGAGTCTCTCATAAGAGTGTTTGGTAATGAAAAGATGTTACACTGATGATGACATATATAAATGAAAACAACGTGTAAATAAATGTTTTATGATTTCCAGCCTCTCGCTGGCAGATGATCTCATGAACTTAGATTCAAAGGTACACGAATGGCATCGGCCAGCGGATTAGTTGCGAAACCAGGTACCTCTGCATCTTCTACGCGGACAAAACCAGAGGCGATGCTGGACTCTGCATACTCAGAGCTGGCCTTTGCTTCGGGCCGGCGACATTCCATGGCATCTGCTTCATTCACAAATTCAAAACGATACAGCCTGTATGAACAAGCCTAATGGATCGTCATAGAGGGCAAGACAAAACTCGACAGCTTCTTCGTTTTGGCAGCTTGCATTGATACCAAGTCACATAAATCAGGATGTGCGTGGCATTGCTCTCGAAGCGCGTCTCGACCTCACTGGAAAATAATGGCATTGGGAAGATCCGGGAAGCCGAATCTATTTGTGCATTGGAGAAGGTGGTCACGTGTCTCTTGCTACAATTGTTTGGCCTGGTGCCAGTGTCCAGAAGAACCCACCAAATAACCAAATATAGTGTGAAAACTTGAGTGCTGCCGGAAGGCTGGCACGTCATATCTAGTGGTCCTCACAGGAACCTCGCCAATGTATCGCCTGAGCCAGGATTCCATGACTGCTGCGTTAGAGTCAGAACGGCTTCCTTTGCCACAGCAATTGCCCGAAACGACTTCCCCAGCCTTGAACCACAACTGACGAAGCGGTACCTGGTGCCATTAAGGATGTTGATAAAGTACATCGCCTGGCGATCACATGGAGGGACTTGCCACTTCATGAGTGTTGGATGGATGTGTGGCAGCCTGAGGCTGTAAGTCTTTATTTAGGTGCAGCAACGTTCATTTTGGGCGAAAATCTGATCCTGCCGGAGTTCTGATGTAAATTGGATCCTTCTTTTCGTGGAGTGAAAAATGCCACTGCTTAACATTGCGAAGACGGGGCCAAAGCAGACCTCGCTGAAGTTTCCACTGGAAAGCCGCCGAACCTCGGTGCCACTCTCTCGCATGGGAAAGCGTTCTCGTGACCAAGGGGGCACTCGGACGGTAACGTCGCCTTCTCGTTGCCAGAGGTAAGTAATCAAACGAGACTTAAACAACAAAGGAAGGAAAAGAAGAAAGGTGAAAAAGGAAGGTGTAAAGCTTCCCTAAAGCCTAGGAAACAAATCAATAATGCAAAGGGTTCCGGCACGTCCCTACTAGAACCTGGAGATGCGATATACTTCCAGTAGTAGTTTCTTCTCAGGACCTACCCTGCTTTTCACGGCCCACCCCGTCCGCACCCCAAACAAAAACTTTACAAACCAAAAAACCTAAGCCAACAAGAAAAGAAACGTTCATAGTGAAGGGGAACCGGCGGGCTATGTCTGTCTTGAAGCACTACTTCCACCAAGCAGCAACAACATTCGTCACAGTCGTCGTTGAGGTGTTGTCCTTGGACCGTGATGGACCGTGTATTCACCAAGCAAACTTATTCCAAGGCATTGTGATCCCACACCGGCCACCTCTTAAACAACCACATCGTGATGAAAACACCAAGGGGATCCAGGAGGACTTTCTCTACCGTCTCAACCTATGTAAATGTCCTGGTGGAACATCTTGTAGGCGCAGCTTGCAAGCGATGCATCAATCCCACATCAGTGTTGCTATGCTCAATTTAGCGCGAAGTCATAAGGATGCTGTCGCGCCGATGGATTTATACTTACACCTTGCCCCTTCTTGCAACTGGAGTGCATCTGAAGTGTCAGCACCATCAGAGTCCTGGGCTCAACAGCGTCAGGAATGGAGTCTTCAGTTCGAATCTTTCTTGTAACATATTGTAACTTGGCCAGGCTGTACTGTGTAGGGTAGGTGGTGTATCATGAATGTAAATGTACACAAAAGAAGCCAGCGGCATAAACTCGGAAGGGGGAAGGCCCCGATTGTCACATGGTGTATCCATGAATTCAGAAGATCAAAACGACCAAAAGCCCTACAAAATCGATTTATAATGATCTCTGCAGTTTTGTGCCCTTTGAAGGTTGACTTACTTGTCCATCAAGTGGCGAAAGTGGTCGTCACAGTGGTTGTTGATATGTTGTCCTCAGAGCACTATGCCAAATGACAAGCCGGTTCAGGCTAGTTCAGAGAACTTTCAACCATCCCAGGTCAACAAGCCCACTGGTGTTGATCACCTTGCTGCACCAAGACAATTGGAACAGAGTGAGGAGTGTAATGAAGAAACATGGAGAAACTAACACCTCGGTAAATGATCCTGGTGGAACATCTGATAGCTAGGGCATCGCTACTGGTAACATGGGCATCGCTACTATTAACAAGGGCATCGCTACTAGAAACAAGGGCATTATATACTACTAATAACTAGAAGATGCTAGAAGCTACTAGTAACAAGAAAGCTTCGCAAGTCGAGACCTCCACAGCTGCTAAGCTTGCAGATTCGCCTAAAATGGTGTCAGTGCTTTTTCTCAGGTGAAACCTGCGTAAGTGGGTCTCATTCACCCTCACAGAAGTCCGGTGCAGTCAAGTCCACGGATTTATACTTATATACACCTTGCCCCTTCTTGCAACTGGAGTGCATCTGAAGTGTCAGCACCATCAGAGTCCTGGGCTCAGCAGCATCAGGAACTGAGTCTTGAGTCTCATTGAAAAACCGGTATAAAGCTACAAGCTGCTGGGGGCGCCCTCTCCCAAATCCAGCCTCCGTCACGTTGGAGGTATCTGGCAGCAATGCTGGCAGCTGTTCATTTGTTACATATTGGACCGCCACGGTGGTGATGCTGGAAATGGCCTTAGCCGTGCAACCTTTTTCAAGAGCGTACATCTATGATGCCTATCACTAAGGTGCACGATTCACTCACATGCGTTCTTGGTTCTGATGTCTTGTGAACTCAAACTCCATGAAAAACACAGAAGGTTCTGAGAGGCTTCTGCCCGTCTTCCACGGTTAGCCAAGCCACCATTCCAAGGACCAGGTCATTGCTCACACCTGCCTGGACGAGCTCTCCCACCACAAGATTCCTGACAAAGTTTGCTCAATAGACTTTGCAGAATGGTTTTGGAATCGTATCATATTGTACCGGGAATCCAAAAACAACATCATATAAGTCAAGCAGGTCTATGAATTTAGAACCATAGATCAGGTGCAGCAGTCCTTTCGATGTGAGTTTGAACAGTCAAATGTGTGGCTGTTGTTCTCATCCCCTCCCGGCACGCTGAGGCCTAAAGCTTGCGACGTCTGCTCGCATTCCCTCGACTGCGTCCACCACACCGGCCACCTACACTGCAATCTAGATTCCCTACATTTCCCTACACCACAAACATGAAATCCCTCAAGACACACTTCGAACTTCGATTGGACACACTGCAGCTCATAATTAGGGCCAACTGCTTGGCCTGGAGATCACTCACAACCACGAGGTATTCGACGATCCAGTTGGTGGCAAGGCGACGGCCAACTGCAACCTGCACACACAGCAGCTAAAGCATTTTGAGATAGGTTCCACTCACTGTAATTACAACGTGCGATAAAAGATAACTATTGAATTCTGGATTGGCCGATAATGCAATAATATAATCATAATCCATTCGTGCCAAAACTTAAAGCGATCATTTGCGGTTTCAGCTTCTAGCCTGAACTGTCACGTAGATTGAGGCCACATCCACTTGCAGCTGTTGCGCCAGTGCATTCCTGACCGCTGCTGTGAGCTGCGTGGCACTACCCCCGAAGCTCATATCCATACGGCCAGACATGACCTCAGCTCCACATCGAAAATGTCAAAAATGCTTGTCTGTTGACCAAGATTGGTCCAAAAAAAGGCTTGTGCCTACCTTCTCAACCTACTGCGATCTTGTCTGTGCTGGGAGCTCACAGAACTTCACCGAACCGTGAATTTCATCGTCACTCGCGCAGGACTCCTTGTAAATGATGCGAAGAGGACAAGGAAAACCGGAACATCTGAGGAAGCGGCAGCCAAAAGAACATCTTCAGTTGCTACTATCCTTAGAATCTGGAGATTCAGCTCCGTGATAAGCAGAGGTGTGAACAGGCTTGGTTCGCAAGTTGACACTGATAGCCTTATAACCTTCAGAGTCATTACTGAGGCATGACACTTTGAAGCCAAGGGTCGTGATGTTCTCGGAGCAGTCGTAGCCCAGGTAGATGGTGTAGTGTGTCACCTGGAATGTGCCAATTTGTCTGCCATTTCTATTGGTACCTGTGTTGTGAATATGGAAAGAATATTGGGGTGCACGGTGCAAGTGGCCAAAAAGCAGTTTCGAGCTTCCAGATCCTGGCAGCCTTCCTCCCGTATGACGGTCGTGCTTTCTGAAATGTCTGATGTCATCTCTTGGGTTGGATCAAAAACACCACCTGCCAATGCAGCAACACTAAGTCCATTTGCGGAGATTCTAAATCTGCTCACAAATTTGATCCCATGTGCGCAACATTGACAGCCTGAAGCAGTACAGTAGCGCAAGGGAAAAGAAGAAATGGACAGGCAAAGCGGAGTTTTAAGCTAATTGTTGGAGGCCATCGCTAGTAGGTTAAGCTAATTATATAGAATGACCAAACGCCCCAAACTCCCCACAGTGCCTACACTGCCTACACGAAGCTGCACCACACCTGTTGGTCGTCTCTTGCTTCAAGCCAGCTCAACGGACCACCAAGGTCGCTAGCATCTAGATCCAAGTCCGTAAAGCTTTCCTGGCTAATGCAAACATATGTGTATATATACATATATTCAACAGTTCTGGACACACAGTCATCGGCCGGCTTCAAAGAGTGTCGACAATCTGCTAATCAGCTCCTGCACCACATAGAAAGAGGTGTCTGAGAGGTCAACAGATGCGGGCGTGGTCCTTAAGTTGGTGATTAAGCAGAGACCCTTTGTAAATTCACCTGCGACATATCATGTACATACTATGCATGCTCAAGAAAGAAAAAGCTGCATGCAAGGCTCTGCTCTGCCAAGAGGGACTTTGTGTAGACCAGAAGTTGAGTGAAGTCACCCAAAGGCGTTTCCTTTGTTTGGAGTGACAAGAAGCTACTAGGAACAAAGGGCATCGCTACTAGGCGCAAGGACGCTACTAGGGGCTCCTGGCCTTACTACTAGCTTTTTGAAGCTACTGGTAACATGTGAAGCGCAGGAGGAAGTCAATGTCCGTTTGGACGCGGATGTGTGGACAACAACATAAAGAAAGTGCACTGAGCAACGTGCTTGGGCAACATCTGAAAGTCAACCTGAAAGTAAACCGGAAGAAGTCCCAGGTAATAAATCAGCTTAGTGGCGGTGGGAAGTAAGGCTTCAGTGCTTCCTGTTGCAACCTGTGTGACCAAAGAACGCTCCTCTGCCAGATACACTCGGTAGGCCTCTCCATGCAACTTCAGGACAAGCAGGCTGCACTCAATTCCATGAGAAGCAAATTAAAGCAATGTGTTTAATTGTATCTATATATGTATATAGAAACAACCACATCGGTGCAAACATGATCAAACATGATGTGACAGCCAGTTTGACAAACAAAACATCATAAGTATTTCTTGTGAGGACTCTCGAGGCGGTCAAGCCTGAACTTCCTCAAGGTCCGAAGGTTCAATCCAGGATACCTCAGAGCAAAAGCTCGCTGCTCTGGTGACTCTCCATACAAGTACCAGTACCTGCGTCTTGTGTTTACGCAAAAGGCAGCATGGCCACTCAAACTCGTAAATTGACAAAATGAATAAAAACGGTCAATTTGAAGACGAGCGTGTCTCTAAAGTTTGCGCTGTCGGACTTTCAGTGACTCTCCTTGCTAGTCTTGCTTGTCCCATCGCAAATGCAGTCTTCCTTTAAAACAAAATGCTGCCATCAACGATACTGACTTAGCTCCAAAGATCGCTTGTCTGAAATATTGGAGTCCCGAGTTACATTGCCACCAATCTCTCCAGAATCCAAGTCGTAATCTGTGAAACTGACCTGCTGTTTGCTAGTGAGGTCATCAATGAAATGGCAAGACCCCATGGAGAAAGCTTTCACATTTACGATCAAGCAACTGGAGACATCATGAGACTCACAAATTGAAGATTGGTTCATGAATCGACTTGGATTGACGAGGCTTGCTGTCTTTAATTTAAGGCTCCAACCTGGGAGACGCTTGAGCTGCGATCGAAGACCAAGGTGCCCACAGGTGTGGTCTGCTCTTGCAATAGGGATCTGGCCTGGAAACCACAAGTGCGCGTTGTCTTTTTTTGGCCCGCTCCTACTTAAGCAAGTAGGCCCTATTCAATTAAGGGAGTAAGCTCCTTGGCTACTAGTTAGCTTCTAGTAACTGGACCCAGGATAGCTCACGTAATGATTTGGTTCCTAGATTTTTAGGGAAACTTACAGACATTATGTAAACAGAAACATTTTGCCTGCTCTTGACAAAGAAAACCTATGACTAGCCTATGACTGCTGTTGCATGAATCAATGCAGTGCGCTCTCCAAGAAAGCTGAGGTCATGCCACCAAGGCACAAAGACCAACAAGTAGGCAATATCAGGAATCTCTGTGTCAGCCGGAATCAGCATCTGGTTGGTGCCCACCCGGGTGCTTCCCACATAGCTCCGATTGCTCCCAGCCATGTCTTCCGCGAGGTAGATCCAATAGTGCGTCACAGGACCTTTGGTTGCTGCTTCGTAGCTTCTTGTTATATACTACTACAGTAGTAAGGCACTTGTTTCTAATAGCAAACATTGTTACTAGTAAGGCACCTGTTACTACTAGCGATGCACTTGTTACTACTTCAATCCTTATGCCGCCCGGTGGGGGCGGGGGTAGGCCGCTAGAAGTAAGTTAGTTTCGGAGTTGGTAGCTAGGGATGAGAGAGGTAGCTAGTACCTACAAGTAAGCTACCGGCAGGACGGATAGCTCACGCTCGCACTGATTTGGTTTCTAGATTTTTAGGAAGACTTAGCACTAAGAGGCTAGAGGGCATCCGGCGGTTAATTCAGGCAACTTAACTTGTAACCTCCACCATTTTTCCACATGTTGAAAGCCATGTCAAGTGCTCATCACGCAAAGAAAGGAGAAAAGAAAGAAGCTGCTTCCTTTGGTTCTCCAACAGGTTCTTTCTTAAATAGCTGCAGTCCCAGGAGCCGATGTCATTGGGTGGATCCCAGCGAAGCAATCCGCCGATCTGCCCAAGGTCCAGGTCCGCATCAGCAAAGCTCACATTGGCAGCCTTCTCTGCAGTGTCCTGCGATGGGCAGATCGGTCCCATCAGGTCAACAAACCACCTTAGGTTGCAGGCCATCACTGGTCGCAGGCCGTTGCTCTTAGGTTGGAGGTCGTTGCTAGCTGTTATTTTACTACCCCCAAATGAGTTAGGAGTTGTGCCAATTTATGAGATGGGTTGTTTGTCATTTCACAAGTCCCAACTCACTAGTGCAGAGCAGTATAAGTACCTTTTGCTAATAGGGCCACTCCTAGGTTGGAGGCCATCGCTCTTAATCCACTTTGGGACCTTTACGACGAAACAAGCCAGTCTCAAAGGACGCCCCAACTCCCTGAGCCCACTTGCAGTCCACAAAAGCCAACGATGCCGGCGTTGTCTGTTCCGCTAGATCCTTATATCAGTCGAGTGCTCAAAGAACAAAGGGGGATGACATTTCAGGCCTTGTTTATTGGACCTAGAATGCTGAAAAGTCAAGGGCTGGCAAGTCTTTTGGTAATCCTCTGACTCCGACCCATCCAGTCTCAATGCTTGATACCTCATCGCTCTTCTAGCAACGTGGGGGAGAAAATGGGAATCAGAATCGGTGTTCAAGACAAATCTTTGCAACGGTTGGTGCGCTGTATCAAGACAAAGCGTGCCCCACTGAGGGCTGCTCTGATTTGGTGTAGACCAATATGTGTGAAAAATTGGCCCGTGGGGTGTCCGCTGGCATGAGCAGCAAATTACCTCAGCTCAAGGATTGAACTGCACTCTTCCACTCCCTTCCAGGGCATTGAAATCAATGCAGACTGACATACTACCTACACTCTCAGCGTTCGCAGAGCACAAGCTGAGTTTCTGCTGGTTCAGTAAGACCGTGTACAGTAACTCAAGACACTATCAGTCGCACTGTCTTTTTCCAGTCAGCTGCACGCTGCTCAGGTGTTTAGTTCTTGTCACCGGAGAAAAAGTAGTGCTGTCCAACTGCGACTAGCACGATCACAACTGCAAGAACAATCCGGCCCCTTGCAGAGAACATCGCCTGGAACATCTTTTTGATGTGACCCCAGAGCTTCAAGAGTTTCATCATGTATGGCATAACTTTCGATATCATCTTCGCGTGCGAATCGCTAACTTCAACGCCTGCACACAAAAGCTGAAGAACTGAACACTGCCGAACAGGTGTCAAAAGCTACAGGTGTTCGACTATTGTATCAGTCTCAATCACATCATTCAACAACCAAAAGACGTTTCTAGACCTTTGAACGCTCTCCAAACTTGGCTAGGCAGTTGGCGATCAATTCTCATATCAAAGCACTTCAATGAGTGATGACATGAACACTTCACGCGCCAACACCAACACCCTCTTTCTCGTACCTGCAGATTTGGCCATGCTCTGCAATGCCTCAGGTGAGATGTTCTTCATCATCTCTTCAGCTGCCTCGCAAAGCAAGCAAAGCAGGAGACGGATGTTTAGACCTAAGAAAAACTCTTGAAGGGTCATCAAGTCAGACCGCACCTTCATCATTTCCGGATCATTCAACATCTCGGAGGGATCCTTGGGATCGCCACCACTAGATTTCATCTTCATGCTCATTTCCATCATCTTCTGCATCTGCTCAGGTGGGATGTTCTTCATCATGTTGGTCATGGCATCCATCCTTTGCAGCGGATGTCAGTGTGGCTCAGAAATCCGTCTCACAAATGAATGTTTCAAGGCTGCCTGTAAAGATTCTCAAATGACATACCGTAAAGATTCTCAAATCCGCCGGCCCTTGGGCGCGGCGTGTTTTAGGTGTATGCTATCCTAGTAGTAGTTTTGTTTTTAGTCTAATTGTACCCACGGCGCGGATTTTTGACAAGTCTAACTTTCCCCCCCCCCCCCCCCCTACCCCCCCCCTCCCCTCAGCCAAAAGGGCCGGCGGAACAATCCGCAGGGGTAAATACTTCTTATAGCTTCTTTGTTACTACTAGTAAGGCACTTGTTACTAGTAGCGATGCACTTGTTACTACTTGCAAATGAGAAGCATCTCAGGATTCTCAGTCATCTTTTTCATGAGATCTGCTTCAGGCCCGTCGCCAGCGGCCGCCATAGCGGTCTTGAGCATGGCAGGGTCTTTCAGCGCTTCCTTGGGGCGAGCCCAACACCCTCCAAACCACATGAAACCACAAACAACAAATACACATTAGTGGTTTCTTGTTACTGGTAGAAAGGCACCTTGCTACTAGTAGCGATGCACTTGCTACTAGTAGCTTCCAGCCAATGCTTGGACAAAAAGCGTTGCTTTCTTTCATAATCTTTTCACCCTGGGCCAAGCTTGAAAGCCCTGCCCTCCACCTACTACCTGACCTGCATGCAAGCATCAGTCATTTGGCTCGAGTCAAATGATGCCGAGCCAGGGTTCATCCCGGCCTCAAGAAGTTCTGTTGCCGATGCAGCTGGAACATCTACAGTTCGCAGGTCGTCTGTTTCTGGGTGTGTCTAGCACTCATCACGCCCACCAAACTCGTTCAAAAACGCCGGTTGCGCCTGAGCTGCGGCCATCATCTTTTTCCTCTCCTGTCAGAGTAGGGGGAGCTCAATTGGACACAGTTGTGCTTTATATCCTTCTATGCCACCTAATGAAGACCTGATGCGCAATTCGGATATACTTGTGGTCACAGTGCTTACATACAGATACATTCTTGATCATCGTTGAAAACGGGAAAAAGCGGCGCCAACCTCTTCAGGCATGGACTTGAAGGAGTCCATTGCTGACTTCAGCATTTCCGGGTTCTTTGACACGGCCTGAGCGCTCTTGTTGCTCAAAACTGATTGATGGGAATCCGCTAGCATGACATCATATGTCCATCCATGTCTGCGGAGCTGCATCCTAGCCTCCAGAGTCTTCCTGCTAGTTTCTGGATCAACTCCAGGCATGCCCGGGGCCTTCTTCAACATCGCATCAAGGTCCTTGACTGAGCAAATGATCGAAATTGATCGAACATCAAAAAGTGCCTCTGAAAATATGTGTGTTTAGCCGCCGTAGTGACCCTGCCTTCTTACTTAATTAAGTAGTACTAGTAGGGACAGGGACTGCCTACTCAATTAAATAGGGAGAAGTTCGCTCCTAGCTACTAGAACGCCACAAGTATGGACGCAGGATAGCTCATGATTTGATTCCTGGATGAACAACAGATGGTCCCCCTGAAAATGGCTGAAGATTTCCTTGGGCCCCTTTCAACCTTTGGATCCTTACCTTGGATCCTTACCTTTGCTACGCATCTGTTCCATCCTGACCTGTGTGAATTATGGAATCAGCTTCCCTTCATTCTGCCGAATGATCTGCTCCTCCGGTGACATCTTCTTCATAGCCTCTGTCGCTTGTGTCACCATGTCCGGATTGGAGTAGAACTGTTCCATTTTCTGGCACGGAGATGGGGAAGTGAAACGTCGAATTCTGCTGACGCTTCAAGTTTCTTCAAGTGGAATGTGCCTTGTCCAGATCGGCAGGTGCACTACTACTGCTTGCAGCAGGCGTGTTGGAGGATGCCTCGACCTTCTCTAGGGCTGATGCGATCTCTGCTGCCGACACGCCTTAGTCGGTATAGCTTGGCAGCTTGGATGAAAGAAAATTTGACATTGCGCCATGCTTGCTGGGAACAATTTAATGAAATAATGGCGGGTATGTCCGATATCTATTGCTGCATGGTGGTGGCCACAATGCTGAACCACCAACACTCGAAAGCTCTAAAGTCCTCACAATGATTATCTCTGCTTGCAAATCACAAAGTCAGTACCGAACATACTATAATGTATATTATATCAGCGATGAATTTTACCAACAACTCAGGCAAAGCACCTTTGCTAAGAACGTCTTGCTCCACACGATCTAGCTCAGCAGTAATGGTCTTGTCCTGGCACTTGAATAATTACTTAAAAGCATAGGCATCACCTTTCGGCCTCACTGACTAGTAGCTTCTTGTTCCTAGTAGTAAGGCCAGGAGCCCCTAGTAGCGTCCTTGCTCCTAGTAGTAAGGCCAGGAGCCCCTAGTAGCGTCCTTGCTCCTAGTAGCGATGCCCTTTTTGCTCCTAGTAGCGTCCTCTACTACAAATTCAAAAAGCAGTTCTCTTCAAAACATGTCTTGACAGCTTTTCACGCCTGTCCTCCGGCGACAATTTGGACGCTAACTTCATGTCTGCAACACCCTCTGCAAGTTGGCCCATATCAACTCGAGCAAGGCCACGTCGGAAAAGGGCCTCATAAACACACACCTCTCATTGAGCCTTCTAACACGCCTCATTCCGCCTCATAAATAGCCCAATCAAGGAAGGTTTTACCTCTGAAGTTCTTTAAGGAATGTATATAATTCGTGCGAAGGTTGGATGCCATCGTTATTAGGTTCCTTTTGCTATTAGTCTGGAGTCCGGAGGCCATTGCTATCAAGTTGGAGGCCATCGCTATTAGGTTCCTTTTGCTATTAGTCTGGAGGCCATTGCTATTAGGTTGTGTATCGCGCTGAACGTTGGATCTCGACAGGTCCGCCTTCACGCTCTTGGGGCTTATTTGTAGGGCTTCCTCGCACACCTGCCGTAGGGTGAAGGTGAAGCGATACCAGGCATCCCCAAACAGAACAAATATTTTGTTAAAGAGGGAACAAACAAAGAGGCACCCCCATCCCCAATGCGATCAAACGTACAATCAGCAAAAAGGTCCAGTCCTCCAGGGTCTTCTGCGGATCCTTCTGCTTCAAGTGGCACATGGCTGAATTCAGAAGTAGTGACAATCTCAGCTGGGAGACATCCTGAGATCTCAAGAAGTACGACGCTCCTCAAGGTCTTAGCACAGTATTGCACAGCCTTTTGTCGCATTCTAACTGCACATATCCTTAACTTGATACGACTGTGATTCCTCGATTCTGGTCGAGCATCCTCACCAGCAAACATCTTGAGATTATCAATTGCTCTGCTGTACGATTTCAGAGCCTCGGCATACTTTCCTGCCTGGCACCGTGAAGATGGGGCAAAAACCGTTGAGGAACTGAAAGCATGAATATGTCTTCGAGCGTGAACTTGAATGTTCACTGCCATGTGCAAGTTGTACGACATATGATTTGCAAAAATGTCAGCAACTTCCTCGGTCAGCCTTGATGTCTGCATTCCCCTGGTTCTTCAACTCCATGGAAGCATTGTACATGTATTGCTTTTGGCCGCCATATTGCTGCTGCGCTTGGTTCATGCTCCTTAGCTTGTGATGCATGTCAACATGTTTAGATGTCTAAATCCCCTCTCCAACCTCCTACAGTGTCTGTGAAGCTTGGCTCTTCTCAAACAAGCATCGTCTTGAGCTCGTCCGGGCTCATTTCGCCTATTCTCTTCATGTTCTCCTTCATTTGACTTGAATCGATTGAAGAGGCGGGCCCGCCCATCTTCTTCATCATTGACTCCTTGGCTTGGTCTATGCTTGACAGTGCTTGACACACACATACACCTACACAAACACTCATATATATACAGTAATATATTATATATATGAGCGATGGAAAATATTTCCGTTGAGTTATCACATGGGCCTTCCTTACCTCGTTCTCCAATCTCACATCGTTTTTGGGGTGTAATCTCGTTCCCCATTCCTGTATCTGTTTTGTGCAATGTATACCCATCTCGTTCTCGAGAGGTGTTCCTACCTCGTTTCACCAGCTAAACATGTCATTAACTAAACCATTTCAAACAAATGGCGCAATTGATGCCAATCTCATTCTGAAGGTGTTCCTACCTCGTTTCGCTAACTAAATCTGACATTGGGCTATAGATACTATAGAAAAGGAACGCCCCTTCCACTTATCTTGACTACCGCACGGTCATATATACACGGTCTCTACAAAAGCTTGCATTCAGGCGTCCATCATGGCTGGATCCATGTTGGCTGCCATTTGGGTCATTCTCTGCATGTCCTTCAGAGCTATGGGCTGTGCGTCAGTATTCATTGAAACTGCAGCTTTCAAAGAATGACCGCGTTTTCTTGAGCAAAAAAGCAAAACCTTGATTGCCAGAACGAGATCTTTCCAGCCACTCTTGCTCGTTCTCTTCAAGCTTCAAACCGGATTCCCTTTAAGTCTTTTGTCCACAAAGACAACGAGTGGACGAGTCGTCACGGTGATCGCTCTGACAGAGATGCTCGGATCTCCTCCGGCTTCATGTTCGCCATCATCTTTTCGGCTTGCTTCATCATCTCTGGAGAGAACATGATGACTGCACCTGTCAGGTTTGAAAAGCATGAGCTTCTAAGTTGAAGTCAGTTCAAAACAGGTCAAAACTGCCAGCCTGGTAAGTCCCGAAAAGGAACGAGGCGGCAAAACTGGCACGTTTCCAGGTAGGAGGATCTTGAAGAGTCTTGATACTGAAGTGAACTTTGCGTGTGTGTCTTGTTCTGCTTGTCAGTGTGCAAGCACCCAAACTCAGGATCCAAACACAAGATAGAAGTTGACCAAACGTCAACCGAAATGTAGATTTTGTTCTGGCTGTCCTCATAGCTTCGCAAGCAAACTGTTGGTGGTGGTGAGTTTGATTGAAGGCTTCAAAGTTTGCGTGGGTTGGCCAAATGGATTCACTGTCTTCGGTGTCTACGGCTTTGGAAGCTACTTTCACTTCCTAGAGCCAGAAAAAAGCTTGGGAAAGTGGCTCAGATGAGATTCAAATTGATCGATTTGACAACAAACACTCCAGAAGCGCAAGCATGCAAAACCTTAAGCTACTAGGAACAAAGGGCATCGCTACTAGGAGCAAGGACGCTACTAGGGGCTCCTGGCCTTACTACTAGGAGCAAGAACGCTACTAGGAGCAAAGGGCATCCTGCTCTGGGCCAAGGTGCTGCCAACGCTGATCTCTGGTGGAATCCACTGTCTCAAAGAACCCCAAGCACTTTCTGCCAGGTAGACACGATAGCTGCGGACCTTACAAGAGGCCATCGCTATTAGTTAGGTTCTTTTTGCTATAGGTTGGAGGCCATCGCTATTAGTTAGTTTCTTTTTGCTATTAGGTTGGAGGCCATTGCTATTAGGTTGGAGGCCATCGCTATTAGGTTGCAGGCCATCGCTATTAGGTTGGAGGCCATCGCAATTAGTTAGGTTCATTTTGCTATTAGGTTGGAGGCCCTATTGGGTTGGAGGCCCTCGCTATTAGGTTGGAGGCCATCGCTATCAGGTTGGAGGACATCGCTATTAGTTAGGTTCTTTTTGCTATTAGGTTGGAGGCCATTGCTATTAGGATGGAGGCCATCGCTATTAGGTTGGAGGACATCGCTCTTAGTTAGGTTCTT